GGGGGGGTTTGACTGCTGGGTGTGGAGATTGGGGAGGGGGGGGGGGGGGGTTAAAATGAAGTGTAGTGTAATTGCACTATAACCTAAGTGGACTGCAGCCGTACCGCACAGAAGGAGGCGGGTGAGTCACGTTCTGATGGTTTACAACTGTTTTTGGGAGATAAGCTCCAGTTTTATTCGGCTGTCAGGTAGGAGGTTCCCCTTTTATTGCATTGTCGGCATATTTGAGATTGTGGAAGGTTTAACGCCTGTCGTGTTTTTCCTTTTTTGCAGGCATGTCGGACGCCCAGCAGAGACGAGTCTGGGATAGATATGCTAATAAGTTATTTTCAACAGCTCGGGTTCATCGAGAACCGCTTCTTCCCAGCCAGCAGGCACATGGGGACCCTTTTCACATGGTACGTTCACCTATGTGCAATAAAGCTGAAACTCTCATTGAAATTAATTCCGTAATAAGGATAGAAATCCAAATGCCATTGCAAACCCAAATATTACCATATAAATGTAGCGGTGACATCATCACTGTGCTGTACATAGCCTGAGCAGAGCCCAGCAGGCACCACCCACTACAAAAAACCTACAGGAGGGCGAGGAGACAAGACCAAGTTACCCTGCACAGGGAGAAAGAGTAGCAGTGACTGGTCTTTATTACAGGAAGCTCCTCCCACTACGGGCTGCCTGCAGAAAACTACAGGAGGTGGTGAAGGCAAGACCAGTCACCCTGCACAGGGAGAGAGCGCACCAGTGACCGGATTTTATTACAAGAGGGGGCGGAGACAAGACCAGTCACCCTGCACAGGGAGAGAGAGCAGCAGTGACCGGTCTTTATTACAGGAGGGGGCGGATACAAGACCAATCACCCTGCACAAGGAGAGAGAGCAGCAGTGAGCGGTCTTTATTACAGGAGGGGGCGGATACAAGACCAGTCACCCTGTGCAAGGAGAGAGCAGCAGTGATCATTCTTTATTACAGGAGGGGGGCGGGGACGGGACAAATCACCCTGCACAGAGAGAGAGCAGCAGTGACCGGTCTTTATTACAGGAGGGGGCTGATATAAGACCAGTCACCCTGCACAACAAGAGAGAGCAACAGTGACTGGTCTTTATTATAGGAAGCTCCTCCCACCACAGGCTACCTGCAGAAATTTACGGGAGGGGGGCGTAGACAAGACCAGTCACCCGGCACAAAGAGAGAGCGAGCAGCAGTGATCATTCTTTATTACAGGAGGGGGGCGGAGACGAGACCAATCACCCTGCACAAGGAGTGAGAGCAGCAGTGACCGGTCTTTATTACAGGCGTGTGCATTGAGTTCCCAGCTCCTTCTCCCTCCCGATGGTCTCATGTTCACACTTTATTTTACACTACCTATAATGCAGCAAGAGGAGTAAGTCTCCCCTCTCCGGCAGCAGAAGGCTGCAAGTCGAGCTAACAGCATTGGGATCTACAGTGGATGGATCTTACAACCAGAGGGGAGATTTTAGGGGGAGAGGGGTAGATGGTTCAACTCATGTGCATCTACCAATAGCTGAGCCCCCCTTTTTGGGTTGACTTTCCCGTGCAATGACTTCCCTCGCCACGTTATAGGATGGCATTGAATTGATGTCCATGACTCAGGAACGGTCGGTGCTTGTTCAGCCTTACAACACTAACGCCCCCCCCCGCCCCC